ACTTGTGTCCTAATGACCGATGAATGTTCATACACCCACTCTGGTCACATATGTTTTCTTCCGATCGTGTGGATTATCTAACATCCTTGATCATGTGACTCACGATTCCAACTGCTTTTTCACTTTGTGAATATATTGATCACTTTTTCACGTTTTGCCAAGTTTAAGAGGAACATCACAACTATACACTACACCCAGTTGACGATATACTGATGTTTCAAAACACCGATTTTTGCACACGTACAGCAGGCTTGAAATTCCTAGTGTTCCAGATTTCTAGGAACGTGACAGAACACCCTTTACAATCTCCATACAAAGTTTCAAAGCAGTTCAGATTCAATCCTCTAACCAGTTTCATTTGTGTTTTGCTGTCGAATAGGACGGTTTTCTCATCTCTGTGTTCGTCGATACATTTGACACTAACTGACCACGTCGCAATTGACTGACGAACGTGTTTGCCAACCTTGATTAGATTGTTTGGTTACGCTTCCATACGTATTTGTGTCCACACGTACACACACATTTGAATTGATAAATGCAGTGGGATGTCACGTTATTGTTTCAATGATGTCTAAGTGTACGCAGAATAATAGGCTTAGTCTTCTCCATCACAATCATAACTTACTGTTCTCAATTACACTCAGAGTGATCGACAACAAAATAATTCACAGTCTATCTAACTAAACATTCAATTAAATAATCACGCATTCAAAAATTCTTCATTTACAAATCAGAATAAGATAGATTAACCATATGAACCATATGCATCAGTTGACACACAAGTTTCTACTCATCTTCAGTCATAATATAATCCACACGTACAAAGTACGTCACTGAAGTGCCAGTATTTTTAATTTTTGAAAATATTTAAATTATAGTACGAACTAAGAGTCCCAGAAATAACGCAATTGAATTAAGAAGTAAGACACAAGTACAAACGAATGTATTGTATTTGGAATTCGAAATCTAGCATTCAACAAATACAAAGGTATCATTAGTTCGTTCAAACACCACATCCGCCACAGCTTAAATTGGAGTCTAGGTGTTTGTAATCAATTGTACGTCTTCTTCTCAAATTCATCCTGAGTCTGTCTGACATTGTATTGGATAAGGTTTCTGTATTATCTAGAATGTGCTCATTAGTATTAGAATTACCAACCGAAATTGGAACTGACTCACCTGGTTCCTGAAATTGTATTTGATCAACATGTCGACTGTGTGTACCTAAGTCATTGATGACTAGAATTCGTACCATCGATTTTCCGACATTCTTCAGAACAATACCCGTAGATGGTTGAAGATCATTTCTTCGATAGTATAAAACTTCTGCAGACTCCAAACATCACATATGCGACCGTAGAATTCTACCTTTCAACAGCTTTGCTGGAGTCTCCTTCGTCACCGAATGTCTGGCATCTCTATATTGCAATAGAAGGGTATCTACTCCCCTCTCCAGCCCATTAAATGTTGAGGCGGCTATAGAATCAATAGCAGTCTTTAATGTCCTGACAAAATTCTCTGCATGGCCATTAGAACACGGATGTCTGGGAGCAGTAAACAGAAGTTTGCACCCTATACCGTTCAACCAGGTAGTGACTGCATCTGCAGCAAAATGAGAGCACGATACTGTTAATCTGAGCGATGTAGAACAGACATCAACAAAAAAGTTATCGACAAAATCATAGAGACAATACAAAAATTTAGTGAAGAGTCAAAAAGTGATCAATTTATTGACAATCTGGAAAAATGCAGTTGAAATGATGAGACACATATTCAAATATCTTAGGTAAAACACAAAGTGCAATGGGAGCGAAACGTTCACACACGATCGGAAGAAAACATATGTGACCAGAGTGGGTGTATGAACATTCATCGGTCATTAGGACACAAGTGATTATCATGATTGATTTGAGTGATTTATTACGTGACTTTCTAAACCTATTTTCCATAGACCACATTGCCATATAAATACACGTGCAGTTAAATCACACTTCGATTGGCGACTACTCACAGGTCAACATTTCTCTCTCTTCCAGAATTGCAATGAAACTCATCGTCATACTACTACTGAGTGTGTTCGTCTTCGAACACCGACTGGTCGAAGCCTTATCAGTCTCTCCAGCGAGTGAAGGTAAGTGGGTGTGTTGTTGAGATATCTGAGGATGAGTGTCGACCGAAAAGTCTCTCAACGTGAATATATCGTTTATTACGCTTCAATTCATCAAGTATCACTGTTTGTTATGCACGTTATGTGAGGCATTGTAGTGGTTGAGTGTCACGTTACAGACATCTGTGTATTATTGTTCGATAGAACGACGTCACAGAGATAGTGTTCTGTGCACGTGACAGACAATTCTGAGTGACACGTGTTCCGAACATTTTCTTGAATTGTGTGTTATTGCTTACAGATGATGACCTCAAGAGTTAACAGTGGAGCGTTATGTCGTTCCACCAAAAAACAAACAAACAAACAGGTCAACATCTGCACACAGTCAGTTGTGTTTGTTTATGCTCCCACATATTTCATTCATCAATAATTCCCTAACACGAAGTCTTGTTTTGTTATAGGACCGACCGTCATTGTTACTGAGCCACTGCAACAGGACAATGTGACGAAGGATTCTGACAGTGGATATGGAAGTGAAGAAATAGATCGGACAGACAGCACGAGTGAAAGTAATCACACTGATGCAAGTATATTAGAGAATGTTGGTGGTGAAAATGCCACACAATCACAATTGCTTCATGGCCATTACCACCGCCATCACAGCCACCATGGATGCCGTAGACACCATCATCATGGACATCACCATCATCACCGTCATCATCACCACCATCACCATCATCACCGTCGTCATCACGGACATCACCATCATCACCGTCGTCATCACGGACATCACCATCATCACTGTCGTCATCACCACCATCACCATCACCGTCGTCATCACCACCATCATCATCATCACAGACATCATCATGACTGTCGTCATCACCACCATCATCATCATCATCACGGACATCACCATGGCTGTCATCATCACCATCATGATGATCATCACTACGGTAGAGAATGTTATTATTAATCACTCTTGTCATCATATTCCTATCAGAACACCAATTTGGTTGTTTCCGTGCTTCCTCTCGAATAACCTTTAAATTATCCAACACGCTATCCGGACAAGTAGAACGTCCATTTGTGATGTTGTATTTAAATAATCTAATTTGTACTAAATATACATAGTTAGTCTGTAGTAATTTTCTATTCCGTTCTAATTATCTTTACATATTCATATTCAAGTCAGAATATTTTCAGTTCTGTTTCAGTATCACAGTGAGTAAACCATTCTGTTTATTATTTACTTCCACACAACTGCTCAAATTGATTGAACTACAAACATGTTGACTAAAGAATAAACATTCATCCAGATTTCACTGGTATTGGTATTTCGCGTCAATTCATATTCGAAATCGAATAATCACCATTAGAATTCCTCGATCAATCACTCCTAGTTCACCATAGTGATAAGTTATTCAAAGCAGAAAACATACAACATTTCAACAATTCCTATATCATTTTATAAAATTATTAATAAATATCAAATTGACGGTGATCATCAAAGACGAAATACATCAACATCTTCGTTATAAACATCTGTATATTATGGTGAACTGTATGCCACCCAACTATAATCATTTGTCGTTTGCGCGAAATGTTGTAGACATCACCGTTACTGAATAATAATAATAATAATAATAATAATAATAATAATAATCGTAGAACACACTATACTTGATGGTCGATGCAAGCTTTGTGTATTATTAAGTTTGTAAGTTATAATACGGAACAACATCGTTTTGAAACAGATCCTCTACAAACATTGTTACATGTATGTAAACATGAGAATATATACGCGAACTGACGAGTCAACGAACACAATGATGTAGATTACACAACATGGGATAGGACAAAGCAGCTCTATTAGAGAATGATCGAGTTAATTATATAGCTGGAAAATCGGACATCGAGAGGAAGGTACACTACGGAAGGATCGCTTGTCGAGTAGCACTGTGAAGCAATCGATACGTTATGAAACGATGTAACCTTACTCACACATAAACGAGATGATGTTGGATAGATAATCTCGATGAATAAACACATCGTTTTCTTATCTAACATACATTATGTTTGTTTAGTTATTATTATTAAATAGTCTTGTATCATTATTTTTTTTCCTGTTGATCTAAAGATTATTGAGTTTTATGTGAGTTGTTTACATTAAGCTAATAATCAACTTTTTTGACTAATGTTTGCATGCATATACTAAACAGAAAAATTTGAAATAGTGTATTCAGTGTTTGTCGAAATCCATTTAAAGTTTTATTGTACATCAAATTTGAATGTGCACGTAAAATTATCAACATCTCTAATGATCATTAAAAAAACAGGAAGCATCGCAAAACTATTTCATCTAATTAGTCAGAGGTAGGAGATCAGTATGAAAAATAGTGAACGAACTCAACATTCAAGTTATATAATTTTGGATATGCAACTGTTGACTGAAAAAGTAGTTAGCTGCTACTAATAGGGTTGTATATAGAAAAACAAACAACTAATATAATTACACAGTAACAGTTATATTCCACATTCAGTAAATATTTATCTAAAAGTGTACCAGAACACAGAAAATATATTACCACAATAATTATGACAAAATTTAAATTACAGACAGAATAAGCTTAGAAACAACAATAATAAACGTCTATAAATCTAAACAAAAAGAATCAGAAAACAACAAAAACAATGCATTTAATATACCAATGGAAAGCAATAAATTGACAAGCAAAAAAAAATCCAATCGAGAAAAAAAGGATATCAATGAAAATTTGACAAAAGCATACAGAAGAACAAAGAAAACCAACAACGCTACAACAAAATACCATATAACAATCACGAAACATATTCAAATAATCATACAATCATTAAGAAAAACAGTGGTCTGTTAAAGAAAAACACCAATATCCATAAGACTGGATTGTGACACATTTTCCTCACCCTCCTTGTTGTCATCCGGACCGACAGAGTTGTTTCCGTGTGAACCTGTCTCCTCATGTGGCCCCATTGACTGTACAGCATCCGACACAGAACCCGACTGCAGTCTGTCCTCAGTCAATGACGGCATCGGAACCGTGTTGGTTTCCACATCCAAGCTGGTCTGGTCGATTGACTCAGGCGTCGCTTCGATTTGTGACTCCCAACCTACATCGGGTGCTCGTGATGCACCCTGTAGTTCGTTGTCCACAAATTCGTGCTCACTAACTGATACCATCTTGTCCTCACCAACTACCTGTGTCACAGTCTCACCGTTCATGTCTACTGCGACCGACCCTCTCTCGCCTTCACTAGATTTATCCTCCTTCGTCACACTCGTCACATTATTATCCACACTCCAACGCTCATCCACATCTCCACTGTCACTAACAGTGCTGTGTCCACCAAAATCTACATGACTCGTTCGACCGGATTGTGACACATTTTCCTCACCCTCCTTGTTGTCATCCGGACCGACAGAGTTGTTTCCGTGTGAACCTGTCTCCTCATGTGGCCCCATTGACTGTACAGCATCCGACACAGAACCCGACTGCAGTCTGTCCTCAGTCAATGACGGCATCGGAACCGTGTTGGTTTCCACATCCAAGCTGGTCTGGTCGATTGACTCAGGCGTCGCTTCGATTTGTGACTCCCAACCTACATCGGGTGCTCGTGATGCACCCTGTAGTTCGTTGTCCACAAATTCGTGCTCACTAACTGATACCATCTTGTCCTCACCAACTACCTGTGTCACAGTCTCACCGTTCATGTCTACTGCGACCGACCCTCTCTCGCCTTCACTAGATTTATCCTCCTTCGTCACACTCGTCACATTATTATCCACACTCCAACGCTCATCCACATCTCCACTGTCACTAACAGTGCTGTGTCCACCAAAATCTACATGACTCGTTCGACCGGATTGTGACACATTTTCCTCACCCTCCTTGTTGTCATCCGGACCGACAGAGTTGTTTCCGTGTGAACCTGTCTCCTCATGTGGCCCCATTGACTGTACAGCATCCGACACAGAACCCGACTGCAGTCTGTCCTCAGTCAATGACGGCATCGGAACCGTGTTGGTTTCCACATCCAAGCTGGTCTGGTCGATTGACTCAGGCGTCGCTTCGATTTGTGACTCCCAACCTACATCGGGTGCTCGTGATGCACCCTGTAGTTCGTTGTCCACAAATTCGTGCTCACTAACTGATACCATCTTGTCCTCACCAACTACCTGTGTCACAGTCTCACCGTTCATGTCTACTGCGACCGACCCTCTCTCGCCTTCACTAGATTTATCCTCCTTCGTCACACTCGTCACATTATTATCCACACTCCAACGCTCATCCACATCTCCACTGTCACTAACAGTGCTGTGTCCACCAAAATCTACATGACTCGTTCGACCGGATTGTGACACATTTTCCTCACCCTCCTTGTTGTCATCCGGACCGACAGAGTTGTTTCCGTGTGAACCTGTCTCCTCATGTGGCCCCATTGACTGTACAGCATCCGACACAGAACCCGACTGCAGTCTGTCCTCAGTCAATGACGGCATCGGAACCGTGTTGGTTTCCACATCCAAGCTGGTCTGGTCGATTGACTCAGGCGTCGCTTCGATTTGTGACTCCCAACCTACATCGGGTGCTCGTGATGCACCCTGTAGTTCGTTGTCCACAAATTCGTGCTCACTAACTGATACCATCTTGTCCTCACCAACTACCTGTGTCACAGTCTCACCGTTCATGTCTACTGCGACCGACCCTCTCTCGCCTTCACTAGATTTATCCTCCTTCGTCACACTCGTCACATTATTATCCACACTCCAACGCTCATCCACATCTCCACTGTCACTAACAGTGCTGTGTCCACCAAAATCTACATGACTCGTTCGACCGGATTGTGACACATTTTCCTCACCCTCCTTGTTGTCATCCGGACCGACAGAGTTGTTTCCGTGTGAACCTGTCTCCTCATGTGGCCCCATTGACTGTACAGCATCCGACACAGAACCCGACTGCAGTCTGTCCTCAGTCAATGACGGCATCGGAACCGTGTTGGTTTCCACATCCAAGCTGGTCTGGTCGATTGACTCAGGCGTCGCTTCGATTTGTGACTCCCAACCTACATCGGGTGCTCGTGATGCACCCTGTAGTTCGTTGTCCACAAATTCGTGCTCACTAACTGATACCATCTTGTCCTCACCAACTACCTGTGTCACAGTCTCACCGTTCATGTCTACTGCGACCGACCCTCTCTCGCCTTCACTAGATTTATCCTCCTTCGTCACACTCGTCACATTATTATCCACACTCCAACGCTCATCCACATCTCCACTGTCACTAACAGTGCTGTGTCCACCAAAATCTACATGACTCGTTCGACCGGATTGTGACACATTTTCCTCACCCTCCTTGTTGTCATCCGGACCGACAGAGTTGTTTCCGTGTGAACCTGTCTCCTCATGTGGCCCCATTGACTGTACAGCATCCGACACAGAACCCGACTGCAGTCTGTCCTCAGTCAATGACGGCATCGGAACCGTGTTGGTTTCCACATCCAAGCTGGTCTGGTCGATTGACTCAGGCGTCGCTTCGATTTGTGACTCCCAACCTACATCGGGTGCTCGTGATGCACCCTGTAGTTCGTTGTCCACAAATTCGTGCTCACTAACTGATACCATCTTGTCCTCACCAACTACCTGTGTCACAGTCTCACCGTTCATGTCTACTGCGACCGACCCTCTCTCGCCTTCACTAGATTTATCCTCCTTCGTCACACTCGTCACATTATTATCCACACTCCAACGCTCATCCACATCTCCACTGTCACTAACAGTGCTGTGTCCACCAAAATCTACATGACTCGTTCGACCGGATTGTGACACATTTTCCTCACCCTCCTTGTTGTCATCCGGACCGACAGAGTAGTTTCCGTGTGAACCTGTCTCCTCATGTGGCCCCATTGACTGTACAGCATCCGACACAGAACCCGACTGCAGTCTGTCCTCAGTCAATGACGGCATCGGAACCGTGTTGGTTTCCACATCCAAGCTGGTCTGGTCGATTGACTCAGGCGTCGCTTCGATTTGTGACTCCCAACCTACATCGGGTGCTCGTGATGCACCCTGTAGTTCGTTGTCCACAAATTCGTGCTCACTAACTGATACCATCTTGTCCTCACCAACTACCTGTGTCACAGTCTCACCGTTCATGTCTACTGCGACCGACCCTCTCTCGCCTTCACTAGATTTATCCTCCTTCGTCACACTCGTCACATTATTATCCACACTCCAACGCTCATCCACATCTCCACTGTCACTAACAGTGCTGTGTCCACCAAAATCTACATGACTCGTTCGACCGGATTGTGACACATTTTCCTCACCCTCCTTGTTGTCATCCGGACCGACAGAGTTGTTTCCGTGTGAACCTGTCTCCTCATGTGGGCCCATTGACTGTACAGCATCCGACACAGAACCCGACTGCAGTCTGTCCTCAGTCAATGACGGCATCGGAACCGTGTTGGTTTCCACATCCAAGCTGGTCTGGTCGATTGACTCAGGCGTCGCTTCGATTTGTGACTCCCAACCTACATCGGGTGCTCGTGATGCACCCTGTAGTTCGTTGTCCACAAATTCGTGCTCACTAACTGATACCATCTTGTCCTCACCAACTACCTGTGTCACAGTCTCACCGTTCATGTCTACTGCGACCGACCCTCTCTCGCCTTCACTAGATTTATCCTCCTTCGTCACACTCGTCACATTATTATCCACACTCCAACGCTCATCCACATCTCCACTGTCACTAACAGTGCTGTGTCCACCAAAATCTACATGACTCGTTCGACCGGATTGTGACACATTTTCCTCACCCTCCTTGTTGTCATCCGGACCGACAGAGTTGTTTCCGTGTGAACCTGTCTCCTCATGTGGCCCCATTGACTGTACAGCATCCGACACAGAACCCGACTGCAGTCTGTCCTCAGTCAATGACGGCATCGGAACCGTGTTGGTTTCCACATCCAAGCTGGTCTGGTCGATTGACTCAGGCGTCGCTTCGATTTGTGACTCCCAACCTACATCGGGTGCTCGTGATGCACCCTGTAGTTCGTTGTCCACAAATTCGTGCTCACTAACTGATACCATCTTGTCCTCACCAACTACCTGTGTCACAGTCTCACCGTTCATGTCTACTGCGACCGACCCTCTCTCGCCTTCACTAGATTTATCCTCCTTCGTCACACTCGTCACATTATTATCCACACTCCAACGCTCATCCACATCTCCACTGTCACTAACAGTGCTGTGTCCACCAAAATCTACATGACTCGTTCGACCGGATTGTGACACATTTTCCTCACCCTCCTTGTTGTCATCCGGACCGACAGAGTTGTTTCCGTGTGAACCTGTCTCCTCATGTGGCCCCATTGACTGTACAGCATCCGACACAGAACCCGACTGCAGTCTGTCCTCAGTCAATGACGGCATCGGAACCGTGTTGGTTTCCACATCCAAGCTGGTCTGGTCGATTGACTCAGGCGTCGCTTCGATTTGTGACTCCCAACCTACATCGGGTGCTCGTGATGCACCCTGTAGTTCGTTGTCCACAAATTCGTGCTCACTAACTGATACCATCTTGTCCTCACCAACTACCTGTGTCACAGTCTCACCGTTCATGTCTACTGCGACCGACCCTCTCTCGCCTTCACTAGATTTATCCTCCTTCGTCACACTCGTCACATTATTATCCACACTCCAACGCTCATCCACATCTCCACTGTCACTAACAGTGCTGTGTCCACCAAAATCTACATGACTCGTTCGACCGGATTGTGACACATTTTCCTCACCCTCCTTGTTGTCATCCGGACCGACAGAGTTGTTTCCGTGTGAACCTGTCTCCTCATGTGGCCCCATTGACTGTACAGCATCCGACACAGAACCCGACTGCAGTCTGTCCTCAGTCAATGACGGCATCGGAACCGTGTTGGTTTCCACATCCAAGCTGGTCTGGTCGATTGACTCAGGCGTCGCTTCGATTTGTGACTCCCAACCTACATCGGGTGCTCGTGATGCACCCTGTAGTTCGTTGTCCACAAATTCGTGCTCACTAACTGATACCATCTTGTCCTCACCAACTACCTGTGTCACAGTCTCACCGTTCATGTCTACTGCGACCGACCCTCTCTCGCCTTCACTAGATTTATCCTCCTTCGTCACACTCGTCACATTATTATCCACACTCCAACGCTCATCCACATCTCCACTGTCACTAACAGTGCTGTGTCCACCAAAATCTACATGACTCGTTCGACCGGATTGTGACACATTTTCCTCACCCTCCTTGTTGTCATCCGGACCGACAGAGTTGTTTCCGTGTGAACCTGTCTCCTCATGTGGGCCCATTGACTGTACAGCATCCGACACAGAACCCGACTGCAGTCTGTCCTCAGTCAATGACGGCATCGGAACCGTGTTGGTTTCCACATCCAAGCTGGTCTGGTCGATTGACTCAGGCGTCGCTTCGATTTGTGACTCCCAACCTACATCGGGTGCTCGTGATGCACCCTGTAGTTCGTTGTCCACAAATTCGTGCTCACTAACTGATACCATCTTGTCCTCACCAACTACCTGTGTCACAGTCTCACCGTTCATGTCTACTGCGACCGACCCTCTCTCGCCTTCACTAGATTTATCCTCCTTCGTCACACTCGTCACATTATTATCCACACTCCAACGCTCATCCACATCTCCACTGTCACTAACAGTGCTGTGTCCACCAAAATCTACATGACTCGTTCGACCGGATTGTGACACATTTTCCTCACCCTCCTTGTTGTCATCCGGACCGACAGAGTTGTTTCCGTGTGAACCTGTCTCCTCATGTGGGCCCATTGACTGTACAGCATCCGACACAGAACCCGACTGCAGTCTGTCCTCAGTCAATGACGGCATCGGAACCGTGTTGGTTTCCACATCCAAGCTGGTCTGGTCGATTGACTCAGGCGTCGCTTCGATTTGTGACTCCCAACCTACATCGGGTGCTCGTGATGCACCCTGTAGTTCGTTGTCCACAAATTCGTGCTCACTAACTGATACCATCTTGTCCTCACCAACTACCTGTGTCACAGTCTCACCGTTCATGTCTACTGCGACCGACCCTCTCTCGCCTTCACTAGATTTATCCTCCTTCGTCACACTCGTCACATTATTATCCACACTCCAACGCTCATCCACATCTCCACTGTCACTAACAGTGCTGTGTCCACCAAAATCTACATGACTCGTTCGACCGGATTGTGACACATTTTCCTCACCCACCTTGTTGTCATCCGGACCGACAGAGTTGTTTCCGTGTGAACCTGTCTCCTCATGTGGCCCCATTGACTGTACAGCATCCGACACAGAACCCGACTGCAGTCTGTCCTCAGTCAATGACGGCATCGGAACCGTGTTGGTTTCCACATCCAAGCTGGTCTGGTCGATTGACTCAGGCGTCGCTTCGATTTGTGACTCCCAACCTACATCGGGTGCTCGTGATGCACCCTGTAGTTCGTTGTCCACAAATTCGTGCTCACTAACTGATACCATCTTGTCCTCACCAACTACCTGTGTCACAGTCTCACCGTTCATGTCTACTGCGACCGACCCTCTCTCGCCTTCACTAGATTTATCCTCCTTCGTCACACTCGTCACATTATTATCCACACTCCAACGCTCATCCACATCTCCACTGTCACTAACAGTGCTGTGTCCACCAAAATCTACATGACTCGTTCGACCGGATTGTGACACATTTTCCTCACCCTCCTTGTTGTCATCCGGACCGACAGAGTTGTTTCCGTGTGAACCTGTCTCCTCATGTGGCCCATTGACTGTACAGCATCCGACACAGAACCCGACTCCAGTCTGTCCTCAGTCAATGACGGCATCGGAACCGTGTTGGTTTCCACATCCAAGCTGGTCTGGTCGATTGACTCAGGCGTCGCTTCGATTTGTGACTCCCAACCTACATCGGGTGCTCGTGATGCACCCTGTAGTTCGTTGTCCACAAATTCGTGCTCACTAACTGATACCATCTTGTCCTCACCAACTACCTGTGTCACAGTCTCACCGTTCATGTCTACTGCGACCGACCCTCTCTCGCCTTCACTAGATTTATCCTCCTTCGTCACACTCGTCACATTATTATCCACACTCCAACGCTCATCCACATCTCCACTGTCACTAACAGTGCTGTGTCCACCAAAATCTACATGACTCGTTCGACCGGATTGTGACACATTTTCCTCACCCTCCTTGTTGTCATCCGGACCGACAGAGTTGTTTCCGTGTGAACCTGTCTCCTCATGTGGGCCCATTGACTGTACAGCATCCGACACAGAACCCGACTGCAGTCTGTCCTCAGTCAATGACGGCATCGGAACCGTGTTGGTTTCCACATCCAAGCTGGTCTGGTCGATTGACTCAGGCGTCGCTTCGATTTGTGACTCCCAACCTACATCGGGTGCTCGTGATGCACCCTGTAGTTCGTTGTCCACAAATTCGTGCTCACTAACTGATACCATCTTGTCCTCACCAACTACCTGTGTCACAGTCTCACCGTTCATGTCTACTGCGACCGACCCTCTCTCGCCTTCACTAGATTTATCCTCCTTCGTCACACTCGTCACATTATTATCCACACTCCAACGCTCATCCACATCTCCACTGTCACTAACAGTGCTGTGTCCACCAAAATCTACATGACTCGTTCGACCGGATTGTGACACATTTTCCTCACCCTCCTTGTTGTCATCCGGACCGACAGAGTTGTTTCCGTGTGAACCTGTCTCCTCATGTGGGCCCATTGACTGTACAGCATCCGACACAGAACCCGACTGCAGTCTGTCCTCAGTCAATGACGGCATCGGAACCGTGTTGGTTTCCACATCCAAGCTGGTCTGGTCGATTGACTCAGGCGTCGCTTCGATTTGTGACTCCCAACCTACATCGGGTGCTCGTGATGCACCCTGTAGTTCGTTGTCCACAAATTCGTGCTCACTAACTGATACCATCTTGTCCTCACCAACTACCTGTGTCACAGTCTCACCGTTCATGTCTACTGCGACCGACCCTCTCTCGCCTTCACTAGATTTATCCTCCTTCGTCACACTCGTCACATTATTATCCACACTCCAACGCTCATCCACATCTCCACTGTCACTAACAGTGCTGTGTCCACCAAAATCTACATGACTCGTTCGACCGGATTGTGACACATTTTCCTCACCCACCTTGTTGTCATCCGGACCGACAGAGTTGTTTCCGTGTGAACCTGTCTCCTCATGTGGGCCCCATTGACTGTACAGCATCCGACACAGAACCCGACTGCAGTCTGTCCTCAGTCAATGACGGCATCGGAACCGTGTTGGTTTCCACATCCAAGCTGGTCTGGTCGATTGACTCAGGCGTCGCTTCGATTTGTGACTCCCAACCTACATCGGGTGCTCGTGATGCACCCTGTAGTTCGTTGTCCACAAATTCGTGCTCACTAACTGATACCATCTTGTCCTCACCAACTACCTGTGTCACAGTCTCACCGTTCATGTCTACTGCGACCGACCCTCTCTCGCCTTCACTAGATTTATCCTCCTTCGTCACACTCGTCACATTATTATCCACACTCCAACGCTCATCCACATCTCCACTGTCACTAACAGTGCTGTGTCCACCAAAATCTACATGACTCGTTCGACCGGATTGTGACACATTTTCCTCACCCTCCTTGTTGTCATCCGGACCGACAGAGTTGTTTCCGTGTGAACCTGTCTCCTCATGTGGCCCCATTGACTGTACAGCATCCGACACAGAACCCGACTGCAGTCTGTCCTCAGTCAATGACGGCATCGGAACCGTGTTGGTTTCCACATCCAAGCTGGTCTGGTCGATTGACTCAGGCGTCGCTTCGATTTGTGACTCCCAACCTACATCGGGTGCTCGTGATGCACCCTGTAGTTCGTTGTCCACAAATTCGTGCTCACTAACTGATACCATCTTGTCCTCACCAACTACCTGTGTCACAGTCTCACCGTTCATGTCTACTGCGACCGACCCTCTCTCGCCTTCACTAGATTTATCCTCCTTCGTCACACTCGTCACATTATTATCCACACTCCAACGCTCATCCACATCTCCACTGTCACTAACAGTGCTGTGTCCACCAAAATCTACATGACTCGTTCGACCGGATTGTGACACATTTTCCTCACCCACCTTGTTGTCATCCGGACCGACAGAGTTGTTTCCGTGTGAACCTGTCTCCTCATGTGGGCCCATTGACTGTACAGCATCCGACACAGAACCCGACTGCAGTCTGTCCTCAGTCAATGACGGCATCGGAACCGTGTTGGTTTCCACATCCAAGCTGGTCTGGTCGATTGACTCAGGCGTCGCTTCGATTTGTGACTCCCAACCTACATCGGGTGCTCGTGATGCACCCTGTAGTTCGTTGTCCACAAATTCGTGCTCACTAACTGATACCATCTTGTCCTCACCAACTACCTGTGTCACAGTCTCACCGTTCATGTCTACTGCGACCGACCCTCTCTCGCCTTCACTAGATTTATCCTCCTTCGTCACACTCGTCACATTATTATCCACACTCCAACGCTCATCCACATCTCCACTGTCACTAACAATTTTGTGTCCATCAATATTTTGCTGCCCTTTTCCACTGGATTGTGATACATTTTCTTCACTTACTCTGTTTTCTTTCCTATTTGTATATTTGTTTCTTATTTTTATTGTATTCTTCTCTTTTTCCTCATTTTTCGCCTTATTTTTAACCTTCTGTAATTGATTTATATTTTGTTTAAATTCTCTATTTTCATCGTCTTCTTCGATTATGTTTTCTTGCTCTTTTCTTATCATTGCTCTTTTTATTTTATTTATCGTTTCGTTATTTTCGTTTTTCTGTGGCACATCTGTGCTTTTTGTTTTTTTCGTTGTTTTTTCTCTCCTCTCGTTTTGATTTTGTTTTTGTTTTTCTTTCCAAGGTTGTTTTGTTTTTGTTTTTCCTAGTTCGAACTTGTTTTTTCCGTCCTTTTGGTTCTTGTTTTTCTCTGTTCTTTCTTTTGTTTTATTGTTTTCTTGTTTTTCTTCCTTAATTCCATGTTTGTTCGTCAGTCGATTCTGTGCTTCCTTCGTTTGTGACCTTTTTGTCTTTTCCGTTACATCTGGTTTTCCTGGTTTGTTTTCATTTATTTTGAGTTGTTCAGAAGCTACTCTTTTCCTCTCCTTTTTAGCTTCTGTTAAATTTGGTATCATTTCGTAACCTTCACTATTTCTCTGTAAATCCTTATTTTCATTATCCTCTTCGTTAAACTCTTCTTGTATTTTAATATTTTTCGTCTCCTGAGTAACTCTAAATGATTCTCCATTATATTTTAATTCACCGTCACTGATATTGGATATAATGTCGATACCTTAATTGGAAAAAAATATATAAGACTATATTTATTAATATCTGTACAAGCAAATATGGATAACGCGATGGCGTTTGGAGCCTATGGTACTAGGTTCAAGTCCTGGAGTGGACATCAACTCTGAAATACAAATACATCCAGCTGACTAGTCCCAAATAGGACGAGTCGCGCGTCATTGATTCCACTGATAGCCACTATCCATCTTTATTCATTAAGCCTGAGACTTCAGTCAATATCTTGGCAATACGCACAATATGCACATATGCTAATAACAGACTGATCAATTGCAGTCATAGACCTCAATGGGAAGATACAAGCAAAACAATACCGAGTGAATTTAATATCTGTACAGTTATTCATTTTGGTATTAATTTCATTTAAATTGTCCTATGTTATGCATCTTCGATTTGATTGTATTTTCTGTTCTTTTAAAATTATGATGTACATTTTTTTCATGACGAGATGGTTTATTATGTTAACGGATTTTTATTTCCCAACATAAGAAGTTTTACCGCTTATTACTTACGTATTACCATTCTTTTGTTTTTTAGCTTATCTTAGTAGTCGAACTCAAAGCGGCTAGATTTCAAGGTTAATACAGTACTTTTTAATTACTGATTTGCAATCCATTAATCAATATATCAATTATAACTTTTACTTTCTTACCTCAAATAAAATTTACTATAAATGATAAAATAACAGACCAATAGGTCCTGGGCTCGAACCCGCTGGGCGAGATCGTGAGTACGCACTGCTGATTCCCGAACTAGGACAAAACAGCCATCCAGTGCTTCCACGTTTTCCACGGTCGTTTGACTTCAATTGACTCATGAACTCAACTATTAAAATTACTACATTATCCACAAAACCCCTTTCTGATAACAATCTTTTTCCTTTCGATTACAATTATTACGTCGATTGAAATTTGTTTGTTTCGGGATGGAAGTAACACTTGAATCTAAAGGGTTTACACTACAAGTTATATTGATCAAGTGTGATCAATTTATGATATAACAAGTTCATGCAAACTCAAATTCAATTGAACTGATTATAAGATCAGATTACGATGTGAAACAAGACATGCCATTTTAATTCTACTGGTCATCCACTTGATCTTCTTCGACCTATCTATCTATATACCCCTTTATTTTTGTATGATTGTTTGTGTGAAATACATAACTAATGTATCACAATACTTAATTATTTACTTGCTCCCGTCGCCTCTCATGTGGCATAGGTTGCTGATCAGAAATCTCTAACTAACTCTGTCCTGGATCCTATTCTGCAGCTGTTTCCAAGTACTATTCATTCTTTTAATGTCAGTTTCCGATTCTCTATGCTATTTGACTTTAGTCTGTCTCTTTTCCTTTTACTCTGAGAATTCAAAATCAGGTCTTCCTTTGAGATGCGATTAAATGATTTTCGTAAAGTGTGAGTTATTCACATTCAGAGTCTTTTCCTGACTTCCTCCTCATCTGGAAGCTGTTTTATTCTCTGCCACAATAGACTATTGATAATGGCATCTTGGAAATGGATCTGTAGTATGTTGAGGAGACAGAGGTTTATAAATGACTGTACATTTTTGGTGATGGCTGAAGTAGTACTCCAAGTTTCAGCTCCATGCAATTGAACTGTCTTACCGTTTATACTGAAAATTCTGACTTCGGTGTTGGCTGACAGATGTTTCGAGTTACAGTTGTACTTTAATTGCAGGAATGTTACCCTTGATTCCCCAATCCATATCTTATATTCGCATCTGGTCATTCTTGTTTCGTTGTGATACTGCTGGATACTTAGAAGCTTCTATGTGTTCTAGATCTTTGTCATCAGGTTCTGTATATTCGCTGCGCAGATTGTAGTATTTCTTGATCTTTCTGTTTTCCTTATGAATCTTGAGACATACAGGTGAAGAGGCGTCTACTACGTTGTTTGGCTTTGTCTGCATTGTTTGCTCTGTGTAGAATAGAAAGACTAGATCATCTGTGAAATTAAAATAGTCGAACTGTATCTAACGTGTCCATTGTATGTTATGCTTCTCCTGAGATGTAGAGGTCTTCATATACGGTGGGTTTAATGGAGCTGGTCTTTTCAAGAGTTCTCCAAAGTAACCTACCCACCTGTTCTTCCGTTCTTTAATCTCAGTGATTGTCTTGCCATCTTTGTCCTTGACTGGTCGCTCTGGTTTACTATATTTCCCTCCTAACTTGTTGGTTGCTTTACATAGTTCTCCCATATTTCCCTCACTTGTAACTCTTTCTGGTGTTGTTGTCAAGTGTTCTACATATTTCCCCTTGTCAGCTCAAATACTCTTTTGCCCTCATTTGTTTGCTTCGATACATTCAGCCTATGCTTCGACTTTCTCTGCTTGTGTTTGTCTGTTAGTGATTACTATCTTGTGTTTCCTTTCTATAATCCTGCCTAAACTTTCCACAGGACTCCATTCTTTATGATGGTGTTTTTAGGGTTCAGAATGTTTCAGAATGTTAAAATTATCGTTTCTGTAATCTCTGTCCAATTGCTTTTCACAGTGATCAGAATACCACAGAACCTCTCCTGAAGTTAAATCTTTTTGTCTAGCATGCGTCGAATAAGTTTCATCTATCCCAAGGTTATATCTTTCCATTTCCACAGCCATTTGAATGGCTGTCCAGGTCTGTCACATTGTTCAGACATTCGATTGCACCTACAATAATTGTCGCTTTGTTTAGCAGTATGAGCATCGACTTTATGATTTCCAAAGAATCTTAGCTTTCATTATGTTCCATCATAGTCTTCTAAATGAAGACCTTTCAACTCATAGGGAAGATTTCAGATACTTGAGATTGGTTGGTATTTATTTATCAAGATTTTTTTTTCTACGAGATGAGCTTCCTAACCCGATGCCCAACTGTCCATGTTAATTCGATCCTGAGACCCAAAGTAACCTGAAAATGGCTCCAGGTGGATTATCATGCATTAATTCCTTTGACTAGATTTATTTGTGGCTCATAATTATATATATCAAAGTTAATATATATTCAATGCAGTTCAGTATGTTTAAGTTCTATTCAATTCATACCAGACCAGATCAGGCTAATACTAATTCAATTCAACTGACAGTGAAATTAAATTCCTATTCTTTCTTTTTTTGCTTTTATTCCTATCATTATTACATTGCCTACTGGTCCGCCGTGATCCTATATACTTCTAATTCATATCGATTCATATTCCATTTATCAATATATTGACTACTAGATTTTAACAATACTACTCCGTATAATGTTTTCCCTTATGTTTATACTTTCACAAATACTGTTAATATATCAGTAAGATTATTAGTCCAAATTCATTACTGCAAATGCTGAAAAAATTATTCACATGAATCTCGAGAAGCGGAATCGTGGATGTGCACTGCTGATGAGTCCCACAATAAAAGGAAAAGGCCGTCCAGTGCTTCCAAGTTTTTCATTATGATCTAGCTTCAGTTGACTCATGATCTCAACTATTGAAATGACTATAAAATATTTGTTAATCAGTTTACAATAATCTGACTTGATAGATTATATAGGTATTTATTCATAATAATAATTAAGAATAGTACCAGATTACATCTTAGTTATTCTTCCTTGTAACTATTATTATTCTTTAGTTTATTTATTCATTATAAGAAAATTTCAATTTATCATACATAAAATAATTACAATAATTAATAGACACCAATAGTAAATATCACCATTAACAATCTCTGATTTGATCATTTCAAGTAAATTGGACATTGAATAGATTGTTGTTTGAAAAAAATGAATTTATATTAATTCAGTTCGATTATTTATTGATTCTATGAAGATACTACTTATACTGAATTCATGAAAAGTTAGAAGCACAAATTTCTATTCAATGAAATATTAAACAAGTAACATTATTCACTTGGTGTTGGTTTTTTACTTGTATCTTCCCATTGTTATTTAGAACTGCAATTGATCAGTCTCTTGTTGGCATATAGGAATCCTTTGCCGATCTCCTCAATATAATATTAAGTCACAAGTTTTATAAGCGAAGACGGATAATGGTCAGTAGTCGAATCCAGGAAGCGCGTTTCGTTCTATTTGGGACTCGTCAGCTCGATATGTTTGCATCTCAGAGTTGATGTTCACTCTGGGACTCGGACCCAGTACTATCCGATTCAAACACCATCGCGTTATCCACTTAGCTACCGAGTCTAGATGGCCACTTGCTTGTGCAATTGGTCTCAAAGTGAACATCAACTCTGAGATGCATGTACATCCAGCTGACGAGCCCCAAATAGGAAGAAACGCGCGTCCTGGAACCCAATGTTAGCCACTATCCATCTTTGTTTGGTGAATATTATTATTATAGACAATAATTATATTTTATCATCAGTAATATGAATAATATATTAATTTATGTGAATTCGAATTACATACCTGTATCCGTTACATCCATTGGAAGAGAATTCAATATGCTCATACATGCCCATTTTAAAATCAGTAAATGATAAATCATTTCTTTTTAATGTTTGATATAAATTAAAGTGATAAATTGAAGACAAAGTTGTTGTTTTTTCTGAAAAGTAATAAATCTATTGAAAGAACTACTTTATAAGTTCAATTTTACAACAGTTGAATAATATTATTTCATTTGAGTCTCTCTTGGTTTATCATGTGTTACATGAACTAGAAAGGAAGGCTCAAGACATAATGGGTTAGAGAATACTGGTTGGTGGCCTATGTTCCACCGGCGGTCAAAGGTGTGAGTAAGTAAGTAATTGTATGTAACAAGTATACAATATCAGAAGAGGATTTTTGTGGATATTATAGTAAATTTAATAGTTGAGATCAAAAGCCAATTAAAGCTAGACCACCATGGAAAACCTAGAAGCACTGGACGACCGTTTCGTCCTAGTATGGACTCCTCAGCAGCGCGTATCCACGATCCCGCACCTCGCGAAATTCGAACCCAGGGCATATCCGTTTCGCGTGCGAGCGCTTAACTTCTAGATCATTGAGCCGGCACCAAGCTGGGTCTGTTGTGAGATAGTAACTCACTGAAGACAATGGTGGATTTATCGCTCAATTTTGTGGATTAGTTGAATTTAGACATTAACACTGTCGAATTCTGACTCAGTGGTCTAGAAGTATACATTAGTAAATAAATTTATATAACACAAAGATTTGATAAAATAGTTTTAGAAAGAATTAGAATGAGATTTCACCTCAATTTTATATTGATGTATACCTATTATTATAAGATATGTTCAGCATCTCAAGGAAATCCATTATCACTGTAAAGTATCATTATTTTGATCATTTAGTCTCTTAATAAGGAATGATTACAGATAATTATTGGCACAGCTAATTAAAAAAATGAACAAATTAAATAAGAAATCAATCATTCGAATTAAAACATATCGTATTAGTGAGGATAATGATCTTAAATTTGAACTTTATAGAATGCTACGGGTTACTGACTCTCTTCTTGACTTTCCATCTGTTCACAGTTAGATATTGTTAATTCATTATGCTATTCATGATACAAATACATGAGTTAGGCCTTCAGAACATTCTAAAACATTATTCTCAATTATTGGTTGTTTCTTTAATCTTATATAATTCAGTAATAACTGTGTTGTGAAATTCATATTTTAAACTATAATTTGGCTGATAAAATCAGTCATCGCCCATGTCAAATATTAATCTTCGGTACTTCTTCACTATTTGTGTATTGACTATACTTACAAGAGCCAAGACCAGACATCTTCTAGAAATATGACTGGAAATTCATTATCCTTAGGTATTTAAAAAGCTGACTGTATAACTGCTGTTTACTACAATAAAAAAGGGTAATATTCTGTCTTTATACATCTAGTTTTTATAATGAGGCGTTTTGATATAACTTAGATCATCTGTTAATGTTTAACTCTAACGCTAAAATATTACGTAACAGAAAATTGGCAATGTGACTTTACTGAATACCTTTATATCTAAATAACTTATCAATTCTATGTATCAATTTGATTAATTGTACACAGTTAATAGAAAAGTTTAGCTTTCATTCTCAGAATACAATAAGATGTAACTTAGACAAAAAATTAAAGTAAATTCGATTTGATCACTCAGATAGTAAGTAGTCAATTTAAAGCTTAACATCAACAAGATAAGTTAGAATAAAGAAGCAAACCCACAGTAATCATCTTCCATCCAATTAATAATGTACTAATACTAAAGTATTCATTGATTATTTAGACTCTACAACGATCATGTAAAACAACTTCTGTAAAGTGAAGTTCTTTTCTTTTCTAATCTCTATAATAACTGTCACTTATAAAAGTAAATATAACCACTGAATATATCTGTATTTATATCAATATTAAAACCAAATTACTGATATTGTCCTTATTACAATCATTAATCAAGTATCAAAAACAAAAAAATGGATAACATTACTAATGAATTACAAATTTCAAAATATGTATTAAATATCAGTTGTGAAGATTATTAAATGTTTGATTGAGATCATGAACCATTTGAAGTTAGACCATCATTAAAAACCTTGAAGTACTGAATAGTCATTTCGTCCTATTGTGTATACGCACTGCTGAAAAGTCTCACAATAGAACAAAATAGACATTCAATGCTTCTAAGTTTTCAGTGATAGTCTAATTTATTAAATAATTCATCATTGAAATTTATATTACTGATAACTCACTAAATTATAAAGAATTGTTTATATGTTCATTAATCATTCATATTTTCTTCAATTCAGTATTTTCAGTAGTATAAATACTAGTTTATTTTGCCTATCTAAATTTAATCGACACATTTTAATTTTTCTAAACTATTTAATAGACTCAAAACAAATTTTTTTTTGATTTTCATTTCTTTATGTCAATTTATTTTGTATATAGAGGAAGTATAATACAATAAGCTGATATTCTAAACTAAGTATACTACTCGTGTATTATGACTTTCAATAGTAAACATAACCATTTGAGTAATATACACTGATAAAAAGAAAAAAACTATATATATATATATATATATATATGTGTAAACAAGCTAAATTACATTCTGTCAATTAAAACAAGGAAAAAATATAGACATAAAACTTAAGATTTTCTTCTGAATATTATAAATAAATAAAAATCCGTGTTGAATATCCTACTTTCATGATTAAATAATATATCAGTTGTATAAATTTATTAGTTGTACAGTGAATGAATGTACAAGCAATTGGCTATCTGAACTCAGTAACTAAGTAGATAGCGCGATCGTGTTTGAAGCGAATGATACTGATGTAGTGAACAAGAACATCAGTGGGGACAATCGAATGTATTTAACACAAAATAATAATAAAATCTAACAATCAAATAGTAGATACGTAATTTGCAAAATGTCCATCATTTGTCTCAAAATGATTCAGACTTTATTGTTCTTGTATTTTCATACAAATTGCATTCTGTTCCGATTCTTTACTGATTGATTTTCTTGTCTCTCTGCTGCCAGACCTTCTATTCACGACTAACATCATATACTACTTATGTCAATACAAGTAGCACACACCACACTGGGTTTGAATCCCAGAGTGAACATCAACTATGAGATGAAGACATGTCTAGTTGATAAGTCTTAAATAGGACGAAAGGGGCGTCCTGGTTTTCATCGCTAGCCATTGTCTATCTTTACTTATAATGAATGATATTGTTTTAGAGAAAAAAATTTTGAATAAACAATCAATCTTTCAAAGTACCATTGAACATGACAATGATAATGATATTAAGTTGTTTTTTTGGTTTAAAGAATATTGAGTATTATGAGTTATTAATCATTTTCTTCTATTTTCACCGACTCATAGATATTTGTGATTAGTTATGATGTTTATGATATGAATATGTATGACAAAAATTGAATGCATTTAAACACGGTCTTCTTGTTATTAAAGCTTTCCAACTAGTCTTTGAATCTAATAGCTAACGATTAGGAAACAGATGATCAATTTATGATGTTTGCTACTGATACGGATAGACATAAGTAGTATGTAGTAGGAAAATGAATTGAAATACTCACCAAAAGAAGATTGAAATAAAGAGAAAGGGAAGGAAAACGGAGAACAATCACAATAATAACAGAACTAAACTAATAACGGAGTACATAAAGGACAATTGAAGGAAGACATTCAAATGATGTAATTAATGTATGATTTTCATACTTTACAAAGTCACTGCGTTTTCGTTCACTACAAATTTACAGTTCAAAGAAATCCGTTTGGCCATCAGTTGTTCATTATTTTATAATATTAGATTACATGTGATTCAGTTTGTTTACTTCACCATGTTAAACTATTTGAAAAAGTCCACTTTTATAGCAAACTGTAAAGTTGACAAATCTAATTATAAAACAGATCTGAAGAATTATTTTAAAAAAGAAAGAATTGGATTTTCTAATGATATTATGAATGACTTTGACTCTATAAAAGTGGCAAAATACGCGAAAATATAACTTTACAACAACTAGCGTTCAACCTGTTGAAAATACACGAATTCATATACAATACTACTGTAACCCCCGAATTCTTGTCTTCTCTCTGGTTAGAATCAGAGAAAACAGTACTGTAACGAGTTTAACTTAACGCTGAATTGACGATTACATGATTGGTTGAAGTTAAACATTAACACCATTAGACACCGACTCAGTCGTCTTGAGGGTAAGCGTTCGCGCGCGAGACCGATAAGTTCTGATTCTGAATCCAGCGAGGCGGGATCGTGAATGCACACGGCTATGGAGTCCTATACTAGGACGAAACGACCGTCCAGTGCTTTCAGGTTTTTCATGATGGTCTAGCTTTAATTGCCTCATAAATTCAACTATTAGATCATATATTATTTATTTGAGCTTATTTAAACTAACAACTTAATCATCTATACATCTTGATCTCTATATTTTCTCGTTCATTAAATACAATTAAAAACAGATTGATAATATTCGTGATAATCTTAGAAAAATTATAATGTACACTTAATCGGTTCATTTATTGATTCATCTCAGATATTAGAACGTTTGAAACTAGTTAAACAATCTTTAATTGAGATCATCAATCGATTGGTGTTAGAGAACCATTGAAAACCTGGAAGCACTAGACGGTTGTTTCTTTCTATTGTGGGACTCCTCAATCGTTTTAATTTACTGATAACAAACAATTTAAATTACTACAAAACGTTTATTATTATTCATGACAAAATAAAAATTCTATTTTTATAAAATCTAATTGAATCACGCAACAACAATAACAACAACAACAAGTTACAATATTAAAGTTATTTAAGTAATATAGACATTCAAATGATCAAAATCTTTAGTTAAACCGATACTACTTGATCCATATTCATTGTTACTTTTAAATAAATCTCATCATTCAAGATATAAGTTGACATTTCCATCAATTCTAATTTAACAAAACGTGGAGCACCAAAA